ATAAGCCCTCCTGATCGGGGGTAGGAAGCAGCGCAGCTCCACCTTCAACCCCGAGCCTGAGGCCAAAGCTGGAACTGAGCTGCCACCTGCCCCAGGCCAGTACTCAAATCTAAGACAAGACTTTTATATTCTCCATGTTGATTGGGAGGGAAAAAAAAACTTGTCTTGGGTTTAAGTATGTACAGTAATATAACTGGTGAGAAAACTGCAAAATTTCCTAATGTAGGAAAGGCGAAAAAGAAAACAATTTCTTTCTAAACTTATTGCCTGGCCCAATGGCATATGTAAATATTATTTTTTTTAAATCTACCTACCATTAAAGCCCTTTTCTCATATCATGTAGCACTCTAATGACTGCTCACTGGACCAGCAGAACTTAGATGAACAGCGATACAGAAGCATTTCAGTTTGAAGTGGGAAGGATTTGCCACCCACCTGCATCTTATAGCAATTTATAAAGAACCACATTCCTGTCATTCTAGGAGAAAAGCAATATTAGAGTTCAATTTTGCAAGATAAAGTACTCCCATTGACATGTAGCAAAACCCCCAGTTTGTTTGTTTGTTTGTTTTTTCTTTTAAAATGCATTCCCTCCCCTTCCCCAACCATTTCTGACTTTGTCTCCCCCTCTCTATTCCCTATAGATAAGTATAAGTAAGCTAAGATATAGGATAAGCTTTTACATTTTATTTTAGGTAGTAAATTTTATTTCTCTCATCTCTGCAAATAAGTGCCCTGCTATTTTGATATAGATATCCACTGTTTTATAAGTTATAATTATTATGTTTGTATTGATATTTTTACTACTTTTTTATTGTGTGATTACTGTTTTAGGCCTATATATGCATGTTAGTATAAGTCATGTCAAGTTTCCATCTTGTAATGTCAAGACTCCATCCTATCTCCATGCCCTGTTGTGTAACCTATGACTCATACGACCCCTCCTTTGTAACTTGGTCCTGAATGAATGGGGATGAATGAGGGTTCTTGAGAGACAATGGCAGTAGGTCTAAAAATAGCTCCCTCTGAATGACGGAACTATCAACACTAATACCTGGACCAATGACCCAGTCCTTGGAATCACCCTCAGCATTCAAGAAACAAAAGATGAGGCAACCCACCATTGTGCCAAGGCTACACATGCTCAGTAAGAACACCTGGAGCCCTCTGGAACAGGATTGACCTTGCCTAGGCAGGCCCTCCCCATAGGAGATCAGAGGTAGTCTCCCCCATAAAAAGGGGTAGTGAAGACTGACTCCTTGGGATGCCCTCTCCATCTGGACCAGCACCATGCCACACCACCAGGAGTCTCTTTCTCCTGCTGCCATTGTGTGTGTGTGTGTATGTGTGTGTGTGTGAACCAATAACTTCATGGGCCTGTGTAGTGTGTTGTCTGTTTAATAAACTTGTTATTTTGAAACCCCGAGTTGGGTTTTTGTCTGTTTCCTGACTGTTTCCTCCTTGCCATCACTTATCTGCCCCCCGCCCCCCCCGGTCTCTAAACTGTCAGCCGGTTTCCAGCCCCAAGCTCCCAAGTTTCTGCCTCTCTCTCTCTTTCCTAGCTGTCTCCTCCTTGCCACCACTTATCTGCCCCCCCACCCAGTATCTCAGCTGTCTGCCTCTGTTTCCAGCCCCAATCTACCTTAAATAAACCCAAGCCTAAATTCCTCCGCTAGCTTCTCTGTAGTCCACTGGTTCTAATCCCACTTCTGGTATCTTTCACTCCCTACACTTTAACTCTCTCTCTCTCTCTCTCTCATCTTAACCTTTCCCCAAGTATCCCAGGTACCCCAAACACACACATACATACCATACCATCCAAGTTAGGAACTTTCATAGACATTAGGGCTGGAAGGGACCTCGGAAGATCATCGAGTCCAGCCCCCTGCCCAAAGGGCAGGAAGTCAGCTGGGGTCATAGGATCCCAGCAAGATGAGCATCCAGTTTCATCTTGAAGGTGTTCAATGAAGGCGCTTGAACCACCTCCGGTGGCAGGCTGTTCCAGACCTTGG